TAAAAAAATAATTGTATAAATATATAAAAAAATAATTTATAATTTGATTAATATATTTTTACCAAATATACAAATAATATACTAAAATATATATTTGGATAACTATTTTTTTAATCCTGTAATTAGAGTTTGTCTTGTAAGTGAAAATTTTTAGCATATTTGATAATTTGGTGTTGGAGATGTCTGTGTGGTACCCATGTGGCACATCGGATGACGCATATACGCCATGTAAGCGCCAACTGTGTGACACGTGGAAAATTTTATTATTTTATTATTTTTTTAAAAGTACATCAATTTAAAAAAATATATATATATACTCGCTCGTAGAAAGTACATATATTTCTATTTTTGGATGTTTAATTACAAAGTAAACATTTCATTAAATACCTATTTTTTTTCCACAAATATCCTTGTTTTACATCAGATTATTACTTTTACACAAAAAAAAACAAGGGCAAAAATATCATTACACTACTTTTAACTACCCACTATAATTAAAATATTATTATTTTTTAAACACCACACCAAAAGTAAATGTTTACTTTCTATGAGGACGAGAGGGAGTATATTAATTTTTTTTATAAAGTTATAAAAATATTTTCATATTTTTATTTTCTTTTTAAAATACATCCGCTTTGTTCTTCCAACACGATTAAATTGCACAAAATGCACCTATAATTTCACAAAATTGCGTCAAGCCCCCATACTTTCAAAATTGTATCAAACTCCATCGTAGTTTAATAAACTCTGGGTTTAATCCCCTCGGCCGTCTTTATATAACGGTGTTTAATCTACCCAGACTCAAACTAGGAATAAATTTCAAAATACTAAGTTTTAAACTTCTAAAATTATAAATATATTAATTTCTTTTATATTTACCCTCAAAGAACATTAAAAAAAAAAAACTTCTAAAACTAGATAAAAATAACTATTTTTTAGTATATCTACTTTTTTAAGTTAAATAATAAGAAATTTTGAGTATATTTGTAATTTTAAGGGTTTAGAAATGACGATTCTGAAACTTATTTATATTTTAGGCGTGTGCAGGTCAAACACCTTTAAATAAAGGCGGCCGAGGCATTTAGACGCAGAGTTTATGAAACCACGATGAAGTTTGACACAATTTATACTTTTGGCACAATTTCTCGTACCATATATAAAAAATTAATTCATCTAAAATTAATTCAATTTAAAAAAATAAAAATTAAAAAAACTCCAAACGTATCTATTATAAAATGATACGCGGATGCTAAGCAGACATCTCTGGCGTTGGATGACTAAATGTACGAAAATTTTTCACTTACGTGATTATTTGAAGACTAGTTCCCGTTATGAGACTAAAATGATAAATTGTGTTAATGATAAGATTGAAAGAACAGTTTATCCATTTATCTTTTATATAATAATAATATATACAGTACACAATTAAAAACTAATAATAAATACTATTTATTAAGTTTTTAAAATATATTATTTTTAAATTTTATATTAATATATATGTATAAATTTAACTTATAAATTAATTTTAAATTTAAATAAGTATATAGTAGTATTTAGATAAACATAAATATAACAACAAATTAGTAAACCAATGTATAATAAAATGAAATAATTAATAAAGTATAAAGTAAAATTATTACAAAAGAAAAAGTAACTAAAATACTTATATTAAACATACAACTATGAATTTTTAACAATAATTATATAAACTTACTATTTAACATAAAAAAAAAAGAAGAATTGTTCAATTAAATATACAATAATATTCATATAAACATTTTAATAAAAATAATATATAAAAAAATAATTATACTATTCTATATTTTTATACTGGATTGTTATTTTATTTTTTTTAATTTTGTTGATCACTCGTTTCTCTATTTACTTCGAATAATAGAGATAAATTCAAATAATTAACCATAACAAAGTATTTAAAAAATAATTGTAAAAAAAAATAGTAAAGTAATGTTAATGCATGCATTTTTCTATTACTATTTTACAATTAATTTTTATAATACATATATTGACATATTTTAAAATTTAGAGGATTTTAGATTACAATATTCATACACTACAAGAAAAAATTATTTTTGTAACAAAATTTTTTTGTTTCTAAATTTACTTTTTCCGTTACTAATGACATTATAGACGGAATTATGAATAGAATTACGTTAGCTACGTGAACTTTAGGGACGAAATTCCGTAACAAATATATTATTTCTTTGTAGTGATAATTATGTGAGATTTAAAAATAAAAAATATAATTTGAAACTTAAATGAATTACCTTTATTTTTCAAACTAAAATTTCAAATTGATGATAAAAATGAAAAAATACACTGTACGTATTGAGATACTTTAAAATTTTTACAATTCTATGAGATCGACTTAACAATTCAATGTTATTATTTTCTTAAATTAAAATATCATTGAGATAACTTTTTTTAATTCCTAAATTGCCCCTCCAGTCATCATGAGTCCGAAGATTAACTTTTATATAGATCCTACTAGTGTTCTTTAATCAGTATTCTGCTGAACTTATTATAAACTCCAGCCACCCTATGACATAAAAAAATAATAATCAAAACTTTTATGAATTGCTATTATTTAGCTTTTGAAAAATAAATATAGAATATATAAATCTAAGTTTTTTTATTTTACAATATATAAATTAAGTTCAGACTTGAAATTCAAAATGTAATAAGTGATAAATGTATTGATAAATTAATTAAATTTTCAGATGATTTGAATTGGAAGGGTTAATTCTATAAAATATGTGAAAATTATATATTAATTTTCAAATACAAATTTGTGTTACACTTCATTATGAATTCTTTTTACCATTTAGTGATATTTGACATAGTATTTATAAATGTTATGAAAAGATTATCATTGCAAGGTGTATTACACATGTATTTGTAAATTGTCTAAAAGCAACTTTTAGTTTTTCAAATAAAATTATATAATTCAATGCTAGCATATAATATATATATATATACTAGTGCTCGTAGGTGCACGCTACGAGTAATTTATATAAAAGTTAATATGATATTTTTGTTCTGGTAGAACATTTTTTGTGATTTATTTTTTTTAATATTAATATGTTGTATGAGTTGATTTGCTTCTCCATATTTTTCGTTTGTAATTTCTTAAAAGAGAAAAGTAATATAAATATATTTTGGGAGTTAAAGAGAAAAAAAAAAAAAATAAATATATTTTAGAGAGAAAAGAAGAAAAGAAAATTGCTAACCGAATTATTATTATAATAGAGGAAGAGAATGGCGAGAAGAGAGAAAAGATAATATAAATAAATTTATGAACAGAAAGATTAAAAAAAAATATTCGACCGAATTAGTATTACGAGAGAAAAAGAGAATAAGAGAAAGAGAGAAAAGACAATATAAATATATTTTATGGAGAAAATGAAAAAAAAATGTTGACCGAATTAGTCTTATGATAGAAAGAATTAGGGAAGAGAGAAGAGGAAATGGAAAAAAAAAAAAAAAGTGGTGAACCGAATTTGTAAGGAGGAGATAAAGAAATGGAATGAATTATATATTTTTTAAAATTATACTTCTTTTTAGTTTATTTAAATTCGGTATTATTTAAAAATTTATTATCTACATATATATATATATAATATATTTCAAATTTCTAATTAAATTTTAAAAATTACATTTAAATAAATAATAATATGACTATAGATATTTTAAGAGTAGTGAGGGAAATCGATTGGCCTCACATAGGAAGGTTAGAGACAACCAACAATTTGGTTGGCCTCATAATATTTCTGCCAAGACTCCTCTTCAGCAAGAAGTTGGTTGGCCTCAAGAGGGTCGGCCGTTGTTTGACCGGCTTAGGAAGGGCCAGTCGCCGGGGAACCCAAATACGTGAACCCAACCGCCGGAGGATTTGTGGCCAGAAGATCTGCCGTTGGCTGGGCGGTTTCTAATTTTTAAAAAGTCTATTTTTCTTTTTTAAAATATTTTTTTATTATGAAAAAAATAATTCTCTACAACAAACTGATGATTTGATTAGCAATTTTATGTTTGATTGGAGGTTTTTGGAAAACAATTCACTATTAATTATTTTTTCTAAAAAATATCAAATCAAATATTTATATATTACATTCTATATTTATAAAAAAAATTAATTTTACTTTCAAAATATCATATCAAAAAACTATTCAAATTGAAAATTTTATTAATACCAAAAGATGTCGTAAGTATTATACAGTTAAACTAATACTACAATAATACCAATTTGAATGCTTAGTCTACGAAAACATACCTTCAATCTCCCTTGACTTTCACTCCGCACATGGGTCATCTACAACAACAGTATTCAGTTGCGTACTTAGTTGATGCGGTAGCCTATGTACTCCCGGCCGACGGAGCATCAACTTGTGCACATTTAATAATAATATCTAAAAAGAGATCGACAAATGGAGTATAATTACCGCATCGATTTCAAATTGAATCCAAGCTTGAGAAAATTGGAAAATAGAAGATCAAACAATACTTTTCCAGGATCAATTGCCAAAACAATTCGGCAATGAAGGATCAAAACAACTTAGAAATAATCAACTGCACACTCACATAAACAAACATGCAGTAATTCACATTGCTTATTAAGGTAAATACCTTCTCTTTTACCTTCTAGATGAGACATATTTATATCCATATTATTTGTCCGAAATTATCTGCAAATAGAGAATAGAATCAGCCAAAAGAGCAAACTAAAGCATTTACAGTTGAAAATATGCAGGCTGATATAAGAATTCAAAAGACAATTTGAGGCTATGCAACTTTAGAATCAAGTCCTTCTGCTGAGATAGGAAATGATTCTCCATACCTTAAGAATGAAAATTAAAGCCACAAAATAGCATAGTCATGATTAAAAACTGCTATAGAAGCATATATTGAGCAATGCTATGTCCAAAGATTGAGTGTTATTACAGAAGAAATGTTTATTCAACGTACAGAAGTTCATTTTGAAGAAAGACGACAGGAGCTGGATCTCTTATAGCGGCTTTAAGTAGTCCACGGGCATCTTCTAAAGAGTATGGAACCAATACCTTTAATCCTGGGATTGCACCATACCATGCCGCAAAGCACTGAAAATGATGCAAAAACTCGGTTTACAGAGGAAAAATTATAGGCATGCAACAGAAACCATGAATTTGTTTTCAATGTTGGAAGACTATATATCATAAAGTTAAAGATGCATTTTTTCAAGGTGAGATGATAATTTAATAAGATTTGTGTGAGATTAATTGAAACCGCAACATTATAACAAGTATATGCTTTACGAGTTATTTCTTACAAAACTATTCTTAGAACAATAATTTATTAGTTATTTGTTCCTGTAACAGATCAAACCGAATGCTTCAAACACTGAAGCAATGGACAAAAATAATTGGAAAATAAAACCAATTAGCTTACTTTGTGGAGAACACGAAATGAACGATGGAAAGAGGAGAGAAAATGGCTGAATTAGTCGGATGGATGAAAGGAGAAGAACGTCCAGTCGGTTGAGATGGAGAAAGTGACTGAATTGGTTGGATGAGAAGGAGAGACTGAATTGGTCGGAACCGTCCAGTCGGTTGGAATAGAAATATATAATAAATTATATAAATATATATATATATTTTATAGTTGTGCAATCAATCAATTTTAAAAAAATTATTTTTCTTTTTTCAAAATATTTTTTTTATATTATACTTTGTTTAGTTAAATTTTTTTATTATTATTAAAAAATTTATTCTCTACGAAATGATATATATTGATATATTTCAAATTTCTAATTAAAATTTAAAAAATTACGTTATATGAATATGAATATATAAATTTAAATAAATAGACGATTATGAGAGAGAATAGAGAAATAAAAAATAAAAAAGTGTAACCGAATTGGTCTGATTTGGTCGGATGAAATGAGGAGAACCACTCAGTTTGTTGGATGGAAAGGAGAGAGCAAAAGAAATATAATGAATTATATAAATATATATATTTATAATTGTGCAATCAACCTATTTAAAAAAAATTATTTTTTAGTTTTCAATATATTTTTTTATATTATACTTTTTTTTTATTTAATTTTTTCTATATTATTAAAAAATTATTATCTACAAAATAAAAGGCAATGCATCATACAAGTATTCGGCAATTTAAACAATCTTTATTTGGCCTACACCAGGACACTAAAGAAAAATAGAACATTGTCTAACCAAAATGCAAACCCAATTGTAGCTAAATAGATTGTTGAAACCTATAAAGTTCTCACGAGTGCAGCATATACATTTACTAAATGATGAAATTAAGCCTTCATCAGTTCATGCATAAGTATATTTCTTTATACCATTTTATAATATTGTATATGGGCAAGGAAAAAAAAAAACAAATTAATTAGAAAAGGATGAAAATATTTGTCTCTAAAAATATATAGTGCTACATATCAAAATTTTGAATTATTTAATTATCAATTATATTTAAATTTTATATAGGAAATGAAAAGGTTCACTTTAATGGTAGACTTTAAATGATTGTGCCATCTTTCTCTGCACTGCTTTCCAATTTTTCCAGTGGGCATTTTGGCTATAAGCTGAGCATTTTCTCACTATGCCTCTCCACCAACTCCACAAGCAACCTTAATTACAATGCATTCATTCCATCATCATTTCATATAAGTTGCTTAATTATATATAATTTGACAGTAAAATTGTGTTGTGAAATTAGTAAACATGAGTGTATAACTCTATATAATTAGACTGCTGGGAAGCATCAAAACAAATGCATTTCACTTATCATAACAAATGCATTAATTGTAGATGTTAGAAGGAAAAGAATCAAAATGTTCAGAATAGGCAAGCAGAGGCCTGGAAAGACGACATCTCAACACAGACGAAAGACGAAATCAAAACCGCAGATACGAGCTTGGTGCTGAGGCTAAACGTACCTTGGGACAACTTATAGCCAGCCCGCACATTGACGGTCAAGTAAGATGTCTGGCGAATCCCCGAGACCCGATTAAAGATTGCGACATAAATGGAGCCATGGGCATGAGCCTACCCTGAGTCGAACACAGAAAACCTAAAAATTGGGGGAGAAATGAAAATAAATAAATAAAACAACCTAAAAATCAAAACCAACCTAGTCATAGGACAATCGATTCTTGTTTTTCAACAACAAAGATCCACTCATCTCGTCGGAAGCATTTAACTCATGATTAGGAAGAAATGAAGGCAATTGTTAGGTAAAATCAAATAAAAATCATGATGACAGCACAACGGTATTTCAATTCATAAGAGTACAAGTGCTCACCTTTAAGCACAGCTGGTGGGGTATGAAACTCATTTCATATAGCTGGCATGAATCAAGATTCATATTTAAGATTCATTTCGGATAGCAGTCCTGAATTTGGCACCGGTTTATGTCTTCTTCTCTCATATTGAAGCTGCTAAGCCTGCATCAAAATGGCAAATCGAAAGAGATTTATTTAGATAAGAACTTCCAAAAATTGCAACTACATCACATTGTGCATACATTAACTTCATTGTTTTGAAATTTTTAACAAGGATTCAACATCGGAAACGGACAATTATGCTTGACATAGCAAACTTAAAAAAAAAAAAAAAATTTAAAACTTTTAGTAAGTTGATTTTATCCATTTTCAGCTTATTTGAAAGCTTTTTGTTGATTAAGATCAAACAACGAATTATAGTGTTTTTGACAAATAACTTATTCAAGAGCTTTTAACTTCATATTTAAAAATTGCATGCCATCATGGTTCGCCGTCGCGGATCGGCGTCGCGGATCGGCCTTTACCGTTCCAGATACGTCGCGGCGTATCGGTCGCGGTGTATCGGTCAAATATCGGCCTATATGATTTTTTTATATAAAATTTAAATTTTTACAAAAAAATAATAAATAATTAATTAAAATACATCAAATTATAAATATAATTAATTTAAAAATATATATTATTGAAAAAATATATTATAATTTATAATAGATCAAAATTTAAAATGAATAATATTTCAACTAAATTAGCGGATATATATATAAATGTAAATGCTAAATTTTATGTTTTGCATATTGTCATTATACTAATAAATTTATTTTAATAACAAAATGATGTACCTTGTGTCCGTCAATGTCAAGATTTCATCTTTATCATCTGCATTATATAAATAAAAATAATTAGAAAAAAAATACAAATAAAATTTTATAAAATGTTCAAACTACGTTTATACTAAATATTTATACTTACCATTCAATACCATGTGGAATGTCGTGGAGGTTCAAAATCATTTTCATCTGGATTCATATTGCTTGGATAAGGAGAGATGTTCGAACCATATTGATTTTCTCTGAATGAACCCCTTCCATATACATCAAAACCTCGATATTCTCTATTATCATTGCTTCTGCTTGATGAACCATAATTTTGTCTACGATCATCAATACTACCCGAACCAGATGTAATCCCTCCGTAATATGTTCCAACTGGTTGGTTGGATCCAAATATAGGAAGATTGGCTGAATCCTGAAGATGTCTGGGTAGATTAGATAAACCGTATCCTGAGTAATAGGGATTATGATATGCATTTGGTTGGTCCCACTCCTGTCTCCCCAATCTATTACTCGAGCTATGAGAAGAATCTCCATAGGAATAACCTATATTCAAGTCTTGCATATGTTCGTGAACTCCAGAATATCTCCTAGTATCTGAAAAATTTGAAGCATCGGCTTCACTTGAAAATTCTGTTAAACTATTTAGAAAATCTCTTTGAGCTTCTATACCAGGACGATATCCATGATCAGTGTCTTGGGTAGCATAATAATTTTCATTTCCTTGAGCCCATCCCATATCACTTGAGTATCGGCTATCCCTGTAGCTCCCACTACCACCACCACCACCACCACCACCACCACCACCACCACCATCATCATCATCATCATCATCATCATCATCGTCATTGTTATTATTCTTATCTTCACCATTAGTCGATGAAGATGAAGATTCCAATATTATTGCTTTTTTTTTCTTGGCTGTATTTTTGTTTTCTGATTTTTTCTCTTTCGCCTTCTTTTTTCCATCAGCTATAAATTGAGATAAAAGCATATCACTGTCATGATCATTATGCTCACTTTGACCTCGATCTCCACTTTCTTCAATAGCCTCATCCAACCAATTCAAATCACTATCACGAATAAGTGGAGATTCATTTTCTCTAACCCATTCATCTAAAATATCATTTTCATCAAAAATATGATTCAAATCAATTGGGTCATAAAAATCGTCTGTGTCTGTCCTTTGCATAAAATTTTTTACCCGAAGACGCATGTTGTAGTGGACATAGACTAGCTTATGCAGTTTCTCAATAGCTAATCTATTCCGAAGTTTAGTATGGATCAAAGCCCACGTACTCCAATTCCGCTCACAACCTGATGATGTGCAAGTTTGACTCAAAACTTTTAATGCAATTTTTCTTAAATTAGGAGCTTCATCACCGTACATATTCCACCAGTCAGCTATTAAAAATAAATAAAAAATTATTAATAATGCAACATTTTATAACAAGTATATTTAAAAATATAATTAAATGATAAATTTCATAATACATACCTGGTAAAGATGTAGATACAGCTCTAATAGCAAGTGCACTTCCAAACTCTCCAATTTTGTTAACAAATATGTTTATCTATAGACAATATAATAGTAAAATTATTAGAAATTAATATATATATATATATTCATATATTATTTATAAATTTCACATAATTTACCTCATTCATAGCCTTTACTTGTATATCCAAATCTGGCTCGAGTCTTTTGATAACTTCTTTTACTCCTTTTCGAACCTCCGATGAATCAAATTCACAAGTGCCGGAGTATTGAAGACCAGGATTTAAAAAATAAGCTGCATGAAATGTATATAAAATTAAAAAATAAAACAAACGATTAGCACAATATAAAAACAAAAAAATAACAAGAATAGTTACCTGCTGCATGCAAATCTTGATGCAATTGATTATACCATCTTTCATCGATGATATCCCAATATTGTTGAAAATCTTTCACTGCGGTTTTTATTGCCATTTTTGCCATATCCATTGCCTCATAAATGATAGGTAGTGTAGGTTTTTTATCTTGATCAACTACTTTTAAAACCTTCACTAAGGGTTCCATGACCCCACAGACTCGGCGTATCCGTTTCCAAAATCTTTCATTCAAAATCAAGTCTGATATATCTCCGGCTTCATGTCTTCTCCTCGAGGTATTATTGTACTCAACCCATTCTCTAGAAGTACACATTCTTTTCAAATCGGTTGCATATCTCAGAAGACTTTCCATTGCAACAAACTCGGTTGCAAATCTTGTTATGCCTGGTCGCAACAGATCTCGGCCATTCGTATATGTTTTCATCAAATTAACCACTTTATCACTGTTGTATATAAATCCTGTAATTCTTCTGGCTTCTTTTATCGTATCTTTCACTGACAATATATCTCCGATGTCTTCTAACATCAAATCAATGCAATGCGCTGCGCATGGAGACCAAAAAATGTGCTTCCTTTTCCTCATCAGTTTTTTCCCAGCCGCCTTCATACTAGCTTCACTATCAGTTACAATTTGTACAATATTGTCAACCCCTACTGATTCCACCACCTTATCCATTAGGGTGTAGACAAAGTCCGCAGTCTTCGCCTTATTTGTACAATCAACCGAACTGTGATATATCATATCTCTATCACAGTACACCATAAAATTTATGATTGGATGTTTTGTACGAGTACTCCAACCATCACACATAATTGTACATCCGTATGTTTTCCATTTCTGCTTTAAAGAATCAACATACTGTACAACTTCTTGCATCTCCTCGTTTAAATATTCACCACCAATTTGTTTACCAGTAGGTCCTTTAACTCCAGGTCCAACCGATGCAATCGTGTCAATCATCGTTTGGTAGTAAGGACCACTATCGGCAGCGTGAAATGGTATTGCATTAAAATGAAAAAATTTCGAAATTGCTCTACCCACTTTTTTTGCATTATCTTTTGAAAACATATTTTTCAAAGACTTATTCTTCGATTGAAACATGTATGGATCAAGTTTTTTTTGATGCAAACCTTCTGTCTTTTTCATAGAGCTTTCGAAAAAATTTTCTACTTCCTTTTGTATTCGAGCTGCTTCCTCCTACAAAGATATAAAAAAAAAAGCATATGATCATATATGGTTGTTATCTCAAAAAAAATATACTAATATTTAAATATATTTTATAAATTTAATAAATATACCGGCTTTAAAATTCAAGCTTGGTAGATCTCCGGAAACAGAATGTCTACGCTGCTGCTCCATAAATTCCATATTTCTGCTTTCAGCCATTGCTCTTTTTAAGTGTTTTCTTTCAAGAGCATCTATCTCATCTTCATTTATTTCAAAAACTTCATCTTCTTCCTCATCAGAATCATCTTCCAAACGAATGGAATTTTGCAATGCTTCTAACTTTTTTTTATGTGCTGCTCGCATACTTTTTCCTTGGATCAAGTGTTTTTTTAATAACTCTCTTATTTCTTTTGGAGCTCTCGTGCATGCTTCAACTTGACCTGTAACATGTGCTATATGTTGTTTCATCCTAGTAATTCCGCCGTGAACAATTTTACCACAATAATTGCATTTTGCTTGTTTTTAATCATTGCTGATAGGAGTAGCATGATCCCAACCAATATCTCTGTGCGGTGCCATTTTACACAAACTCTGTAATTGAATAATACAATTGTTAAAATATTTATAAATAGTAATTCATTAATTAAATAGACAAATTATATATTAGTTTATTAATAAATCAAACTTATACAAAAATTTAAGTAGATAACTAATTTGTTTATATAAAAAATATAGTTAAAATATTAATTTTTTACAATAAATTTACAATTAATACAAATTTTGTCTAAAATAATATTAATTTTAAATAATAAGATTATAAGTTATTCTAAAATATTAATTTTAATGAACTCAATTTATATAGATTAAATAAAAATTAAATACAATCCAACACAATTAAACTAAATTTATCAATAAATTAAACAAATTATTCTAAATAATTAAATCTAAAATAATTAAACCTATAAATTAAATAAACAAATTAATAAAAAATAATTCAAATTATCTTCACCGACGCAGAATCCTCCCCCACGATTTTCTTCACCGACGCAGAATCCCCTCCCCCACGATTTTCTTCCCCACGATTTTCTTCACCGACGCAGAATCCCCTCCCCCACGATTTTCTTCACCGACGCAGAATCCTCCCACTTCTTCTTCCCCTCCCCCACAATTCTTCTTCAGACGCGAACGCATCCCCCACAATTCTTCTTCAGACGCGAACGCATACCCCACGATTTTCTTCACCGACGCGAACGCAGAATCCTCCCACTTCTTCTTCCCCTCCCCCACAATTCTTCTTCAGACGCGAACGCAGAACAGAGGTCTTTCCTCCACGATTCTTCTTCAGCGCACTGGTAAATGTTTTCTTCTCCGATCTGATCGAATTGAGATGAATTGTTCGAATAATATGAATAAAAAGTAGAAAATCGGTAAGAATAAGATTTATAATGGGTTTTATAGATAAGATATGAATGGATGGGAAAATTTTGGGCAAATATCGGATATTTTTTACGAACCGGAACCGTTCCGGTTCCGGATCGGCCGAGTCGGACCGGACTCGGCCGATCCGGCGAACCATGCATGCCATTAATGTACATATTAGAGAGATATTTAATTGATTTCCATATGTGCTAAATGATGTACATCATATATATATATATATATATAAGTATGTTGTATGAAAAGCATGCGAATGTTGAAATATGTTGCATGTAGTTGTGTCTGATGCGTGTTTTGATTACATATGCTATATTTACTTAATTTGATCATTGGCTTTTGATTTGATGTCTTTTTTAGACGATCCGAGGCTTTGATATTTGGTTTGACTGTGCCACCTTTTGAAGAGCTTTGGTCTCCATGTTGGCGATTTGATCGTCGGGTTTTTGGATTTGATGTCTTCTTTCGACGATCCGAGGCTTTGATCTTTGGTTTGACTTTGCCGCATTTTGGAGAGCTTTGGTCTCCGTAGTGGGTGATTTGATCGTTGGCTTTGGATTTGATGTCTTCTTTGGATGATCCGCGGCTTTGATCTTTGAGGAGATGGATTCGGTGCTCCATAACACTTTTGGTAGTGTATCGAAGAGGGCTGAGTTGATGCTTTCGTGAATAACGCGATGAACACTTTGAAGCTTTGAGAGGAACTTTGAAGACCTTCCCTTGGCTTTGACGAATTCTTCAATGGCTTTGGGAGCTTTGATCCTTCCGTCGGCTTGGGCATACGACGAAGAACGTTAATTCCATCGATTCGTCAACCAATATTGGATCATTTGTCCAAATCAGTGACTTTCGACGAAGAAGGCTTCGAAGGAAAGACGTTTGTTTGTCATAGGTAACTATGTCAAAGAAAACCTTCGCTTGGCCCATTCGATTGGGTTTCCCTGAGTTTTAGCCCTTGCTTTCTTACGAAGAAGAGGCACACGAAGAACATTAAGAACAATACAGAGAGAGTCTAGAGATTTACTTCTTTGCTTGAATCCTCGATGTAACTCCGGTGTGTCAAATGAACTAGCCATGGCTCCTATTTATAAGGGAGGGGTGGCCTTGGCTTCCTTTTCGGATGGTGCCACATGGCGCGTCTTGATTGGTCAACAAAAAGATTTTATTATCTTTTATTTTTCATCAGATGTCGTTTTTCATTTTTGAAGAATTTGATTGCGTGCCTTCCTTTTTTGCCAAAATCTTTATATCATTGCATTTTTTGGAAGATATTAATTACAATACTTCATTTATTGACAAGATTAATTTATTTTGCTATCAAATTTATTGTGACTCTATTTATGTACGTAATATTTGTACGATATCTTCCATTTTGAGCAGATTTTTGCATTAATGGTTGATATTTATTGTACAAAAATTAACATGTATGCATAATTGAATACCATATATTTATTTTATTGGAATTTTGTTTTCTTCCAAATATTTAATTTAATTTAGGCATTTAATATTTAATGACTACAAAATGATCCATCGAGACTTGTTTAAGCCAACGCAAAGCGTTTAAGGCATGAATGAGTCTCAAAACATAAGTCAAATTTTTTTTTTTGACTTAAACATTTTTTTTTAAGGGCTTTTATTTTACATGATTTTAACTACAAAAAAAAAAAAGAAAATCTAATTCGCTACAATATTTTTAACTACAAAATATTTTTGTACGTGTCATTTAGCAATAAAAATTAATTTTATCGTAAAAAAATAAATTATGTACTACAAAATTAATTTCGTCGCTAAAGTTTTTTTGCGGAAAATTCTATCTTCATACAAAACAGGTTTTAGCTACAAAATTATTTTTCATAGCTAAAATCATTTGGCTACAAAAGTCATACATATTTTGTTGCTAAAACTCTTTTATTACAAGAAAAAATTATTTTTGTAGCAAAACCTTTTTGTCTCTAAATCTACTTTTTCTGTTACTAATGACATTAGAGACGGAGTTAGGAATGAAATTACGTTAGCTACGTGAACTTTTGGGACGGAATTCCGTTACAAATATATTTTTTTTTTGTAGTGTTTTGTTATAAATTTTAATTTTATAGCAAAAGAGTTTTAGCTACAAAATTATATTTTTGTCGCTATATCTCTATTCTTAATTTTCATTGCAAAAAAACTTATATTTTGTTACAAAAGTAATATTTGTCACCAAAGACCTTTACTAACGCGGTATAGACAACAAAATGAGTTTCGTCGCAAAAATAGTTTTGCTATGAATTATCACCTTTTGCTACAATTTCTTTTTAAAGCTAAATTTTAACTATCTTGTAGTGTTTTTTTAAGCCCAATTACAGATGAAAATAGGCCAGGCAGCTTGTGAGGGGCCTACAGTCTGGCCTGCGTAAGGCTTGGTTTGGCCTGTCTGTTTACTAATAAAGCTAAAATCAGATATATTTCTAAGTCTTTTTAATTTAATAGAACATTCTTAGACTTTACGAAAAGCCTTTTTGGCCTATCAGGCCGGCCTGTTTATATAGTATTTTTTTTTTATCTAATTTATAATTTATAAAAAATTATATTTGGTGACAATAAAAACTAAAAAATTAATTTATTTTAACTGATTTATTATATATAATAAATAATTGTATATATTTTTCTACAAATATTAAGTTTGAAAAATAAAAAATATTATATAGATTTTTAAATAGATTCGTAGGCCAAGCCAAGCTTTAAAGTAGGCCAGACCTAGGCCTTAGATATATATTTTAATAGGCTCATAGGCCAGGCTCAGGCTTTAGTTCTATAAAATAGGCCTGGCCTATTTAACCAAAGCCTGCCCGGGCCTACGAGCCTATTTCCACCCCTAAATCCAATTTTTTTAGAGCTTTTTTTTTTTTTTTTCTTTTGACATAATTTGATGTACTTGGAGTTATATTCCAAGTTGCTTACGTATCCAGTGAAGGAATCAAGTCATAACGTAGTTCAAAACAAATTGAATTTGTTTGTTTTTGTTTAACAGTTTCTTCTCGTGTTAAGGAATCTTGTGGAAAGTTTATCCTCATTTCTAGGAGATTGTAGAAAGTTTATCCTCATTTTCAAGAGATTGCAGAAAGTTTATCCTTGTTTCCAGGAGATTGTAGAAAGTTTATCCTTATTTCTAGCAGATTGAAGAAAGTTTATCTTCATTTCCAAGAGATTGAAGAAAGTTTATCCTCGTTTCAAGGAGATTGTAGAAACTTTATCCTCGTTTCCAGGAGTATTGTAGGTATGACTGCCCCCACTGTTTGAAGTGTTGTATTTATCGTCTTCTAAGAAATCTTCAGTATGCGATCCATACATTCTACTCGACATTATGCTCAACTCCATAT